AATTATAATTGAATTAATTATTTGGACTTCGGGCCAAATTTAAAGTGGGTGAAAATTATAAAACCTAAATTGTCTAAAATAATAGACAATTAATACTCGGGGTCCAAAAACATGGACCAAAGTCCACGAGTGAGCCGAGCAAATTTGTACCGTGGTCTAGGCCCAAAAATTGGGCTTAGATAGACATGGGTTGATCAGGCCCCAAATAGAATTTGGGCTGTAAGCCCATTAGCAACAATCGGGCTGCAAAAACTAGGTCAAAAAAAAACAATGGCCCAAATGGGCAATACTCAGATGCAGCGTGATGTAGGTACACTAATGCACTAGCTGCAGGCTGGGATCATGTGTATGCGGAACATGGATACACTAACACGAGGCTAGGATCCGATACATCGTGGGCATCTGGGACACCATAGTCATTGGGCTAGTGTCACGTGTTGGGCTAGGCCCAAAAACTAGGGTCAGGCTTGGACCAAGAAGTCCTTACAGAGCTAGGGGTTTTCGCCAGAGAAGATGACCGGCGCCGTCACTGCAGGTGGCCAAATCTTGGACAGGGAGACTGAAGGGTAACCTTTTTGAGTGTTTTCGACCATGGTTACAAATGAAGATTTGGAAATCTAAACTATTCAACCAAAAAATCCTAGAAATTAAAATTGGGATTTCGAAAAATCCGATGAGATTCAAAGGAATCTTTGCCAATTGACGTCGATGGACGATCTTCACGTCGTCGGGAAGGGAGCCATGGTGGTTGGGCATGGCTGCAGGTCATGTGTCATGACGGTTCAAAGGGCGATGTCGTCTAGACGTTAGGTTTTAGGGTTTGGGCCTAGAGCCGTGGCTTCAGGTTTGGGTTCTTGGCTCGAGAAAGGAAGCCCATCACCATGGATGGGTTTTCAACAAAACCCTAAAAATTCTTTATAATTTTTTTAATTCCAGATTAATTCAATGTATATTCTTATAAATAATTTAATGCATGGATATATAATTTGATGCAATTCATGGCAATATCAATTCACATAACTCGACAATTATGGATATACTGCATACACAATTTATGTAAAATCTAAAATTCGAAAAACGTAAAGTTGAGTCATGCATTATGGTAAATGTTCATACTATCAGGGTTGCAAAATATCGAGATAAAAATCTTTGTTTTGGAAGAACCTGATTGCATGATGATATTGGTGAACTGGTTTGACGCAGAAAGCTAAAACGTCAAATTCCTAAGCGCAACAGTAGGGGCATGCTGATAACTTGTTGTAGACCTATTTGACTAAACTATATTTAGGACTAGAGAGGGAGAGAGGCCGGCGGCAAGAGAGAGAAGAGGGAGATTTAATTGTGAGATGTTGTCATTCCCCCTACGCAGTGCCTTTATTTATTACTATAAGAGGGAGAAGAAATCCTTCTCTTCCAAGAAATACAAGTCCTGATAGGGAAGAATAACCAAAATCAAATCTAATCTAAAATTTACACAATCACACTTAAACAAGAAATTTATAACATTTCATATAAAATTATATATAATATATGTTAATGCACAAAATCAGTAAGGACTTTGGTACAACAGAAAGTGTCAAGTTTGTGACCTTCGCTAGATTGCTCCGGTCACTAGTGTGGATAAGTATGTAAATGGATAGAGACAGGGAAGCAAACACAAGATGTACGTGGTTCACCCAGATTGGCTACGTCCACGGCGTAGAGGAGTTCTCATTAATTGTGAAGGGTTTACACAAGTACATAGGTTCAAGCTCTCCTTTAGTGAGTACTAGTGAATGATTTAGTACAAATGACATTAGGAAATATTGTGGGAGAATGATCTCCTTTTATAGAAGAGAGTTTCTAGCTTTGTTTTGACATTGACACGTGTCGTGTTGTGATTAGTTTCTGATGTTGACACGTGTCGCGCTGTGATTGGCTTCTGATGTCGACACGTGTCGCATTGTGATTGGCCTCCTGGTTGGAGGGAAACTCTTCTGGGTCCTTGACGGTATAACGTTGACCGGTGTTCAGTAGTTTCGGGATTGGTCAAGTATAGTTCAAACAATATATATTAAAAAAATTTAGGTCTCGTGAGGTTTCACCTCAAGGCTTTCGCCTAGGCGAGGCTATCCATGAAACGCCTCGCCTACGCCTTTACCTTTTAAAACATTGGTCAACAGTTACCTTCTGTTAGGGAGTGAGCAAAAACATACTCAAATATTTGTCTCAAAATTCTTAAGCAAGTGCTTAAGAACATTTAACCATGCACCCGAGTTCTTACAATCGATTCCACTCACCCCTAATTTGCATTTAACAGAAAATAATAAAATATCACATCACTCAAAATTTTTACTTAAACATCTTTCAAACAATCCAATGTTTCATTTTTTTTCAGTTTTTTTAGGGTGAAGTTAATAATTACCCAGTTTAGGGATAATTTTAAAACGTTGTTAATTTTTCCAAATAATTATCTAACATTTTAAAAATTGAAGTGTTAAGTGAGGAACTTGACAAGTATTAGAGCGAGATTTTACCTTGACGTCATTTATAAAGCTCTAACTCCTCAAATTTATTCCCTTAAACTAGACAAAGTTAGCGTTTAATTTGGCTAAAAGGGCCCAAATTGAGGATTCAAAATTCTAAAATATGAAAATTAGCTTCAACATTTGTCCATATCATTACTTAACATTGATGACATTGTCACTTAACAGTAGTGATGTTATCACTTTACACTGGTGTACTAATGAGCGTCTATATTTATAAATGTTTTGTAGTTATTTGAAATATTTTAGTTATTCGTACTTGTTTTTTTAACCATAAAGGTTGGGACTAATTTTAAATCACACTAGAGGTTGGTTAGTTATTCGTACTTCCCTGTTTTTTAACCATAGCAAGCAGTTGCTAGCTATAATTGGTGGTGGCGACGATTTTATATTTGTGTTAAGTTGCCCAAAAAAAACAAAAATTGTGTTAATTATGACTAGCCCATCTTTTAGTTTAGAACAAACATAGCCCTTAAGAGTAAAATATTGTTGTTAAGAAACAGTAACAATTGAACTCTTATTATTTATTTAAAATATAAATTCATCCGAGTTCATTTTTCATTACATAATAACAGCCAAACTCAATCAAACCAAAGATAACTGATTAATGGACTATACTAATCATTCCATTTATAGCATCTGTCGTAATTGTTGGTGTCCCAGTTCCACAGGCATGGATGGCCTTCAAACACAGCCCAATTACATGTTCCACAATAGTCACCATCTCTAAAGTTATCATATATATCGAACCATTGAAATGCACCTGGCCATTCAAAACTGCAGTAGAATTTTGTTACTGTGATGAAGCTAGGTTTGAAGTGGAATTGAAAGCTGGCGTTCGGCGGAAGCGTTTGGAGACCAAGATCATCGTCCCCGGATTTGCAGTGAAGGTTGAGGGTCTGGCCTTTCTCCAAAGAGTTTGTGATCTTAACATGTTTTGTCTTGACTGCATCACAAATGGTAACTGTGAACAAAACCAGCGTGACTAGCAGCGGTACTGCACTTCCGTTGAACCAACCCATGCTATACATATAGCTTGTTAATTTGAAGAAAATCAAATTTTATTTTGGTGTGAAAACATTAGGATGAACCATGCTTTAATAGTTGCTAGCTAGTGGTACCATCCACAAGGTCTCACATTTGCTTTAGTGCCATTTTTTGGCCAGGTACATTTGCTAGCTAGTTCTTGATTTATAAAATTATGGTAATAGATCGATTCACGTATAAAATTATTTTTGTTAGAATAATTTACAGTTGTGGAAAGACATTTAATTTTTCATAACAATGAATTTAGTTTAAAATGTTGACGAGCTTAGTAGTTGTCATGTAATTAAAGGTCTGAATTCTACTAATAAAATTTTCTTACAGTAATTTTCTTTATATAAGCGATATTATTCTACTTTAAGCCTTTATAAATTTGATGAAGAGAATTCAAACTTAAAAGCATATGATCTAACACATAAGCTCTATGTAATGTGGCCACGCTTAAATATACATTTGGTAATTTAGTCATAAAAGGAGTACTAGTGATTTTGAAAATCATGTACAGCTAGCTGAGAATACTTGGTAATTCTAGGAATGAGGAAATATAAAAGGAAAATACTAGGTAGATCATCGGTGAACATGTTTGGCAAGGTCCGCTTATAGGTAAGAGGTCCTTATTACTGGTAAGGGGATGTCACCGCTTCATGCCACATCATGTTCTATTCTACTTGGATGTCCCAAGCGTTCGTGGCACAACAAATGTGTTAGGTGGAGTAAAATTAGTCCCACATATGGACTATAGGAATGGTACAACTCAAAACAATGGTAGAGGCACGGATAAGTGCATAACCAATTATTTCTTCCATTAAACAGAAGTAGATTCTACAAGATTGAGGTTCGAGAAAACTGTCCCTTATTCTTGTCAACCAAGGAGCTTCAGCCATCAAGGATTTCCTTTCGTACATCACATTAGCACCTTTTCACTTCTTGTGTACCCAAGCCATGAGGATAGCCAAAGTAGGCACCTGCTTAGGGTCTCCACTTCGGAGGGCCCTTAATTTATATATATATATATATAATTTCTTAAAATTGAAACTCAATAAAATATCAAAAAATAAAATCATAGGGAAATGAAAAAGAATTGGTTGAAAAATTAGATTATGTAAACTTAATTAGTACATTTGCATCTAATAATGCGAGATATGTAATATTGAAGTAATGTTTGTATTTTTTTTTATATTAATTTTTAATGATATTTGATGTAGAAATATATTTTTTCATGTATTTAGCGAATTTTTTTAATATATATCAATGTCCTCGAGGATCAGAGAACTCTAGTGCCCCACTTCTAAGGCTCACCTAGGGTCCACAAATTTTCAGGGCTGCTTGTGTAATTTTGTGAAAGGGATGTATCAATGTCATAATCTTGAAGTCATAATCTTGGAAGCATGTCAACGTTTCAGATATCAACTCTGTGAACATGGTAAGATGTGAAGTGAACAATTGGCAAAAAACTTTATTTGAGATAGAAGTTGAGCATCTACAGCAAATTCGTCTCTTCCTCATTAACTACATCGTAGTACCGTGAAATGTACATTACATGAAGAGAAGACAGAACGGCTCAAAGTACTTGCTAAGTTGCTAGAGCTGCATCTCAGCCCAGTAACTCAAAAGAACCTTCGCTCTTGGCATTAAACGAGTGGAAAATAAGGAGGCGGCTAGATTACTGTTCCACTAGGAATCAAGGCATCCTTGATCACTGTGACAATCCCGCTCTTTATGAAATATCCGTCTGTTTCTCTTGCTGCTTCTTGCACATTGTCGCTATTGATAATCTGCAGTTCATACTCGTCGATGGTCAGTTTCATAAAGATAAAATGTAAAATGTTTTGAGTGATCAGCTAAGAAGAATAAAGTTCTAATTTGAATGTATGTCGAACCAGACATTGCATTGAATGTAAGCGGGAAATAGGTAGTACATATAGGAAGCGGTTTTCTGTATCCATTTAAGAAGTTTCAAATTGGCTGTCCATAAAATTTAGACTTAAAATTAATAAAAAACTGAAAAAAAATCATATTAAGATGATACTATGCTTACCTTAACATTCTCTCCAATTCGCGCATTCTTATCAATTATAGCTCTCCTAATGTGGGAATTCTTGCCAATACCAATTGGCACGCTGCCCTTCGCAGATAGGAACCTCCTGTCAGCATCAGTCTGGGACAATCACAACAGTTGCATCAGTATAATCTATCCAACCCATAGAAAGGTCAAATGAACAATGACAGTATTTCTAAGGAAAGTCCATTCATCTCTATAAAACAAACAAAAAATGTTTATACGGTCATGTCTTGACTTAAAATAAAACGCAGCAAGTGCTCAATCTACAGCAGGTTTTACCTCATAGTAGTCAGCTCCCATCAGTAATGTGTCTTCAATGACAGCACCCTCTGCTATGCAAGACCGAAGTCCAACGACTGAATGGTGAATTTTACAGTTCTGTGTTTATGTAAAAGATAGGATTGGGTTAAAGAGCAGGACTGAAATAGGTTATACTGATCCCCGTTTCTTGCAACGATAGCACATAGATGCAAGTTTTTCTGAAATTGAAGAGAACACGGGACTATGATGTGGCATCATAACGAAACAATTTAGCAAAATGCTGAATGTTTCTACAAAGAACTTACCTTTATTACACATCCCTCGCCAATAACACTATCTGTGACATCAGCATCAAGCATTTTCGATGGAGGTAAATACCGAGGTTGGGTGTAGATAGGGGATGAACGATCATAAAAGCTACAGTATAAAGTTCAAAATTAGGCCGGAATACTAAATCCAGATCAAACTGAGAGCATAACATATGAATTGGCCAAACAAAACAGGAATACAAACAAGTTATAGAATAAAAGGTACCTGAAATCTGGAATTGGTTTTTTTGTTATCCCCAAGTTTGCATTGTAGAAAGCCTCAATGGTACCAATATCTTCCCAGTAGCCATCATACAAATAAGCTTGAACCTGTAGGCATTAATAATTAGTATTCCGGGGGCTGAATATCTGGATGAAGGGTAGCAGGGGACAGAAAGTGTAGAACTGGGAAATATTTATCAGACCATATAAAATCAATTTAGGATACTATCTTTTTCAGTACAAAGGGATTTGTTCAGTTTCGAATGAAAGATATTTGCAATTATGTAATACCAACAACTATTCCAATCTTTTCCACCTCTTTTGATTGATCTTTCATAGAAATTACAGAACAAAATATATGAATGAAAACTTACTCTCAAACCAATGGAAGTTGCGCCTGGAATAACTTCACTCCCGAAATCATTTGCACCAGGAAACTTGTCTCGAAGTAGATCTAACATGATATTTTTGCTCACAACATATATACCCATGCTGGCAATATAAGGCATCTCTTTAGCTCTCTCATCATCAAGACCCAGGATAGTTGTATCAACCTATATAACAAACAACATCTTGCATCAATAATCAATCACACACCTAAACCCACAAGCGTTTGAAGTTCAAAATGAAACGCATACGTAACGTACTAAATAATGAAAAACAATCTGCAAGTGGATCGTTCACCTTCATAGCTTTGAGTTGCTCCCCTTTTGGTTTCTCAGCAAACTCAATAATCCTTCCCTCTTCATCAATCTTCATCAAACCAAAGGCGGTAGCGCGCTTCTCATCCATGGGCAGAGCAGCCACAGTGATGTCTGCATCAGTTTCTCTATGCGCCTGAATAAACTTCTCATAGTCCATCCTATACAAATGATCCCCAGCAAGAACCAAAAATTCCAACACATTGTGCTCCTCAAACAACCACAAGTACTGTCTCACGGCATCCGCGGTACCCTGTAAAGACCAAAACCAAATATCCCAACTCAAAAACCAATAAAAACCAAAAATCCAAACTCAAAAACCAATCGAAACCCGATTCCAACACAACCCCACAATTTGAAACAAGCTTTTTAATCACCTGAAACCAATTGGGATTCTCAGGGCTCTGCTGGGCAGCAAGAACCTCAACAAAGCCTTCATTTTTGTAGCCACCCATGTTACTAGCATAAGCACGAGAAAGATGGCGATTGAGCGAAGCGGAATTGAACTGGGTCAGCACATAGATCTTGGACACGTTGCTGTTGAGGCAATTACTGACTGGGATATCGATCAGCCTGTAGTTTGCTCCCAATGGAACAGCAGGCTTCGCACGCTTCTTGGTTAATGGGTAAAGCCTCGTCCCAGCTCCCCCACCCAGGATAATCCCCAACACACTCTACACATTAACACAAACAAAATTCCCAAAATTTCAATCCAAACAAGAACACATTATGCGAATGCATAGAAACAAAAGCACCAAATGCGATAGAGAGGGAGAGAAATGAATCACTTACCCGGCTCGCATCGGGATCAAGACACGTCTGGGAGTTCTTGGAATCGGAAACAGCCTTCGGAGAGACAACCAGCGGCGGGACTCTGTGAGTGGGGCATTTCCTCATACAGGTGCTGGGGGCGGGGATTTTGGTCCCGGAGAGATGAGAGCCGCTGAAGGAGAGGCGGCTGATGTTCTGGGTTTGCTTCGAGTTCGGCAACACCGACGATCGCGGCGTGAGCACTCCGTTCGCTGCCATTGAAGAGGACGCCATGTAACAAGAAATTTTTCAGAGAGAGTTTCAGAGAGTTTAGAGGGAGACAGTGGAGTGTTCGGGACTGGCAGCTGAGATTTGATGATATTTCGGGACCCCTTTACCCTTTCCATCTTAGTGTTAATTACGCAACCCAACGTCAAATCTGAGAGCATTGGAGTGAGGGTATTATGGACCTTTTACAAGATTTTAATATTAGTAGTTATTTGACGGAAGTAAAGGAGTCCCAAAAATTCCGCAGAAATCGCAAGTATTTAAACAAGTGGACATCATTAAAAGTCAGGTAACGGTGGGTGCATCTATGGAAGATTGACACGTGGCATTTGGGTTTTGGAAGAGTGACACGTGGCATTTGGGTTTTGGCCTAAGATTTTGTGTCACATGTCACCACTTTTGTTTACCACCGTCTATTTTTTCGTTATATGGTTATAAAATTGAGATGTTAAATTATAAACTTAGCAACCTTTCAAACTCACAAGGGACGATCTTTGTTGACAGTATTAGCTAGGGGTTGTGATTGGTTGGTAGCATATATTAATTTACAGTGTTGGAGATTGATGATATACCGTGTTTGATATGGTGTAAATATTTGATCGATGTTAACTAAGTAGGATTACTTTTGATTATATAATATGCCATATGTTTTGAGATTGACTTACACTTTGTGTCTTTGTTGTGGCAAATATTTCGTGTCAATAATCCCTTGTGATGTGACAAAGTTATACATATGAAAATGCGTTATTAGTAACTAAGGAAAATACCGATCTCGTCTTGCTAGCTTAGAGAGAGGAAGCCTCGAGATTGCATCTTCTAGCCAAATAGGGAGCTATCACTCAATAACGAACACTAGCATGTGCGAAACAATTTTTTCTCTTAGAGACGTTATATTCACACCTTCTAAATTACTTCCCTCACACCCTTTTAATTTTTTAATTTTTTTCTATCAAGTGCTACTGGTGTGTAGAATATCAAAAAATATTGAATAAAAGTAAAATGGTATGGGGAAAGTAATTTGGGGATATGTGAATATAATCTCTCATTCTCTTATAGTGGGAGTTGTTGGAATTCCAAAAAGGGGTGTGTTATTCATTCACTCATTTTTACTTCTCACACACTTCTTGTTAATTTTTGTCTTTTGATTTTCTTGAATTCATCTGATCCAACGGCCAAAACTTAGAAGGATATGTGAGAAGTAAAAAAGAGTGTGTGAATATCACACCCCTTCCAAAAATAGTCATCTTCCACTCCCTCTACATAGAAAAAAAAACATAAAATATATGAACACAAAAATTACTATTTTGAAGCTCTGATCATGGGCCTAGGAGGGGCGGATACACCCACTCAGATTTTTTTAACTTCCAGTACTGTTCACTTTAACGAAAAATCACATTTTTACGCTAAAAAATCATTCCTTGTACTTTTAACTTTACCCTTTATTTTGTCCTTATTGTTAAAACTCAAAGTTTTCAAACCCTTTTTATTAGTTTTCCTTTGAAAAAATAGGTAGACAATTAAGATAATTCTACTTTTTGCATCCCCCAAAACCCCACGGGATGACAATTAAATTAATAATTAATTTAATTATGTCTTGCTCAGTTTTATTCTAAGGATTTCTCTATAAATGAGCAGGAGATACTTAAGATTCAATTTCAGACTTAACATTGTGGATATGTGGTTTAGCATTCAGTTTTCCGGTATAAAAGGTATTGGATATCTTGCAAAAATATCAGCTGGTTTATTTGCTTGTGACATTAGCACTAACTCTTTCAGTTGTTACTGCCACCGTTGAAGAGCATTTTCAGCCATGAAACTTCTGAAGAATTAAATGAGAAATCGAATAAGAGATCAATGGATAAATGATAACATGATTATTGTTATTGAGAGACATTTGATGGTATTGATAATCATGTTGTCATAAAACGCTTTCAGAACATGAAAACGCGTCAAGGGATATTGCAATATAATGTATCAAAAACTGTATAGATTAATATTTAAGTGTTCAATAAGTTCTTGAGTTTTTTAAGTGTAGTTCTGTTGTTGGAGGATGCTTCATTCACACAAATCTCTGACTTCATTCTGACTCTGATAGTGATAGAATTTTATTATTACTATATGTTCACAAATATCTATTTTGGCATACAGATAACAAAGGAAAGGAAATATGGAGACAATATTCTATCACCAAACCAATGAGTGGGGAAAGGGGCGGATCTATGATGGCAAGGGTGACTGGGGATTGACAAGTTGGGGAAAAAAATGATATACCACCATTGGCTAAGTTCCAAATTGTTATGACACCCGTTTACCAAAAAAAAAAAATGTTATGACACCCACAATTAGTATAGTCATGAGTAATATATAAATATTGTTTTACAAAGTGCAAGCTGTTGCTTTGCAGTTTGCAGTGGACATATTTACTTCCCAGCCATTTTACCCACATCTAAACGTAGATATACTTGCATTACCAACTTTTCCATTTTTTTTAATCACGAAGACAACTTTCATTACAATAAAAAAACTAGTACCAGGCTCAAAAAGAACAGGATAAACAACTGCAGAGAAAATAAAGGCCCAAGCTGTAATACCCTGGAAAATTTTAAAATATGTGGCTAGGTGAATTTTTTTTTTCGACAAGTGGAAATGACAGAAATGTCCTAATGGGGGGGTTAAACGTAATTTTTCGAGGACGTATTTTATCCTCATGTATTTTGTTATATTTCTTGACATATTGGATAGAGTTCGATCCTACGAGTGCGTAGGCAAAAACCTTCGTGAAACGGAATTATGACGAAAGAGTTATTAACGTTTAAAACGAGGGTTGTATATGTAATTTTTGCTTCATCTTGAAGCTCTAGATTTTGAGCATTATCTGTGATGACACGTGGACAACTCAGATTAAAAGAAAATAAGAGAAAGGAAGAAAAGAGAGTGGTGGATGGGGATTTTTGGCCCAACGAGGAAGAGGGAAAGGAGACATGGGATAAAAGAAAAGAAGGGGAAACCGGGTCTCCCTCAACCTACGTGACCCGACCCAAATAGCAAAATCCCGATGCCAATTCCGGCGTCCTCCTGGAGAACTGGGCATCGCCATTACCCCCAAACAACTCATTGTCATCCCAGCTTCCAGTTCCACCCAAGATTGAAGACAGTGGGTCACAATTTCACGAAGAACAAACCCCGTTCTCTCCGGTGAGTCTGAGGGCACCCACGGCAGTTCCCGCCATTTCTGAAGCTACCACATGGACCACCACCATGAGTTGACTTCTCTTGAACCCAGGAATATTTCCCAAGCTTTGGTTGGGGGGGGGCAGAGCACCGATGGTGGAGGATCGAGGCCATTCAATTTTCTAGGGTTCCGGCGGGTTTTGAGTGAAATTGGAGCTTTTCCTAGCCAAATTGGACTTGACCGCATGTATAAAGTTTGTTCTACTCTTCAAGATCTTCATTTCTACAAATTTTGAGAATTTTTAGAAATATTTGGAATTTTCCGACGAGTCGGGGCGATCGACCGCCATCCACAGCGGCAAGTGTGGCGATGTGTGGCCAGAGGGCCGTCAATGCTATTTTTAGGCTAATTCGATGTTCTGAATTTAGTTTTGATATTCGTATGACGTAGATTGATCGTTTGAACCTAAATTCACTACGATATCGTTCCTGATCAAATTGTGAAACGACGATCCAACCGTTGGATCGTCACCAAACTTTGATACATTGAAGTACGTAATATTTGATGATCTTAGGAACTTACAGATTGGGAATCCGACATATGGATCTTCCCGAATTGTATTTGTAAGTTCGTAAAATAAAATAAAACGTCGACCGCCACTTGATGTTGTGATTGGCAGAGATCCGACCGTTAGATCAAAATGAAATTTTAGTCTGTTGATCTAGAAGTGAAATGTGAATTACTAGTGGGGTACGTAGGCAGTCTAACAATGAGGTTAAATGCAGCCATAATAAAATACCAAAGATTTTTCTTTTAGTGAAATTTTGGCTAAGAAAATAATTTTGGGCCTATCTTAGTAATTAGCTTCCAAATTAGAAATTTCGGGTCATTACACAAGCAAAATGAGAGCAACAACCCAAGATACAATGGGAAACCCACACAAGCTTAGGCCCGAATGCCACATAAAACAAAAGAATCAAAAACCTAATCTCCACCAGCAAACACCACATCATAGTCACTGTCACATCCTCTGAGGAAGCTGAACTCCGAACCAAGAAAGACACCAGATCCAAGTTCCCTTCACGAACCCCTGCAAATATATACAAACAAAGTAACATATGGGAAGAAGGTTCGCCACCGCCGTCATATCCTCGGAGGAAGCTGAACTCCGAACCGAGAAAGACACTAGATCCAAGTCCCATTCACGAACTCCTACAAATATATACAAACAAAGTAACACATGGGAAGAAGGTGAGCCTGAGGGGTATGTAAAATACCCAACGCTTAACCTCGATAAGAATCCGACATGCTGATTGGGGGAGGGGAAGTGAGGGAGGGAAGTGGATCTGATATCTAATTTCTGAACAATGCCCGCCAATCAGAGCACATGGTGGGATAAGGATGCAATATCACAGCTAGGGAGGAGGGGAAAGGAAATTAAAAGATAGAAATCAGTAAAGCTATGCAAAAAACGCCAAATAAGGGGCATGAAGCCCAAGATAGTTGAGACTCGACTCAAGGAAAACTGAGATTAAACTCATGAGAGAACTGAGAATTAAAAAGGAATGGAGAAAACTGGAAAAAGAAAGGTGAAAGAAGAGGAGAGGGAAGCAGAGAGGGTGAAGGAGAGATGAGAATGGAGGAAAATAGGGAGCGAGCAAATGAGAGAAAACCTGAGAAAACTCTGGAGGAAACATAGAAGAGAGAAAAGAGATGAACAGAAGAAATGAAGGAAGGGTGGATGCCTCCAACACCCAAATCAAAGGCTAGGGTCGGTGGTAGAAGAAATTTGAATTGTCTTTAAGAGAGAGAAAAATGGAGACTTTTGTATAACTTTTCCACTCAAATTGCAAAAACAAGTCTATCATTTCAGTCCTCCGAAGCCAGTGAGTTCCCAAAATGCCTCGTGCTATAGGGAGGGGAGCATGTACATATAAGGCACATCACCCCCTCTTCATTGGTCGATGTGGGATGTTACACAGTCCTTATATGTTAGTACATATACCAATTATCCGGTGAGAATCCGACATGCTGATTGGGGGAGGGGAAGTGAGGGAGGGAAGTGGATCTGATATCTAATTTCTGAACAATGCCCGCCAATCAGAGCACATGGTGGGATAAGGATGCAATATCACAGCTAGGGAGGAGGGGAAAGGAAATTAAAAGATAGAAATCAGTAAAGCTATGCAAAAAGCGCCAAATAAGGGGCATGAAGCCCAAGATAGTTGAGACTCGACTCAAGGAAAACTGAGATTAAACTCATGAGAGAACTGAGAATTAAAAAGGAATGGAGAAAACTGGAAAAAGAAAGGTGAAAGAAGAGGATAGGGAAGCAGAGAGGGTGAAGGAGAGATGAGAATGGAGGAAAATAGGGAGCGAGCAAATGAGAGAAAACCTAAGAAAACTCTGGAGGAAACATAGAAGAGAGAAAAGAGATGAACAGAAGAAAGGAAGGAAGGGTGGATGCCTCCGACACCCAAGTCAAAGGCTAGGGTCGGTGGTAGAAGAAATTTGAATTGTCTTTAAGAGAGAGAAAAATGGAGACTTTTGTATAACTTTTCCACTCAAATTGCAAAAACAAGTCTATCATTTCAGTCCTCCGAAGCCAGTGAGTTCCCCAAATGTCTCGTGCTATAGGGAGGGGAGCATGTACATATAAGGCACATCACCCCCTCTCCGTTGGTTGATGTGGGATGTTACACAGTCCTTATATGTTAGTACATATACCAATTATCCGGTGAGTCCCTATACTTTAGGGACTCACTTTCCGATTCATTTTATCATTGTATTTGTTTTATACTTATTTAATGTGGTGGTTGTCCCTATTTAGGAACTCCACTAGAGATGCTCTAAATTTAAAAAATAAAAAATAATAATAAAATAAATAGGACTTTTAACGAAACACTCCCAGTACTGTTCACTTTTAATGAAAAACCACATTTTTACCTTTTTCTGGTACTATTCACTACACTTTTATTTGTTATTTTTCATTAAAACTAAATTTTTTTTAAACTTTTCGTTAGTTTTCCTTTAAAAAAAAATGGTTTGCCTCCTTCCAAACACATAAACCAAACAGCCGCCAGCAAAAGATAATATGATAAAAATTATAAAATTTTATTCAACATTCCCTATGCATGGCTTTGTTATTTTCTACAAACAATTTTATTTGTTTAATCTGAATTTCAGCATCATACGCCACATAATTATGCCACAATTACACTGAATTTGTTTTCATTTAAGTCTCTCTCTCTCTCTCTCTCTCTCTCTCTCTCTCTCACGGATCAAAGACTTTGAATGCTCGTGTGGTCTAAATTAAAGATTCTCAATCATCAACAGTACCGTTAATATACACAAAGGGTAGTGGTAGTGGTAGTGGACTTGAAGAGTCAAAGTCTTTGCCACAAGTCTTTATGATTGGTGGGCCGTTTGCTTGTATACTTCCAAACAAGTAGAGGTTGTATTATTAACTTGTATGTTAAATGCTTGGTAGAAAAGTCTCACCACTAGGAAGCTACAGACAACCCGTCAAATGGTCTCACGCGAAATGATGATCGACTTCTGTTGAGTTTAACAAGAAAATTCTCTTGTCCGGAAATTGCAATGGAGCATATTCCAGCCAAATCGGGGATATGAAACTGTTTTTGTAAGCACTTTTGTTGGCAAGTGCTTTTATTAAAAATACACAAGTTTTTACTAAAATCAGTGTGTTTCTAGGAAAAAGGCTTGGGATTGTTTTTTGGAGAAGCACTTAGCACGTGCTTTTTTAGAAAACGCTTCTATCTAGAAGCACTTTTAAGTTTCTTCAGCAATTGTGCAGTCGTAAGTGCATTTGTTTGTAGAAATAGTTCTGCAATATAATGCAATGGCAGGCACTGCAAGTGATTCAGCATTCAATTGGGTTCAAACACAATAGATAAGAAATAACCTACTCATATCATGGTCAGGCTTACCCATAGCCTTTATGTCTAGCTAGATTACTCTAATGTTGCTCATCATCTCCCATTCGGATCGTTGATATCTGAGAAGATCGTCTCAGATATGCACTAAACGGATTCATTCGCGCAACCTGGCAGGCTAGCAAAGGCATCCTCGTTGTTCCCTTCACCGCAATTGTGATGTAGTTGCAAGGTTATATTCATATATAATTAAGTGCAAAGTCATAGTTGACATTTGATATAGCTCTAAATGTGGGATCCTCACCACATAAGATACAAAAATTATATTTGTCTCTAAATTTGACTAGGCTCCTTCCAATTTACTAGAGTTAAAAAGTTAAAAGTCAAATTTGATTTCATATGCATTGTATATAAAATAACTTGCACCACCACATTTAGAGTCAAATATGACTTCATAATTTTTAACCTTTAAGTTTTAGATGGGAGATACAATCTAGTGGTATTCATCTTCAGTTGACTCTTGTGGATGACAAGTTTTGTACTAAATCCTTTACTGATCTTAGGTTAAATAAGTTGTTACATAAAAAAAGACTAACTCTATGGGTCAACTTTCAACTAAGAATATATGACATAAGTAAAAATACTAGAGTGTAATATCTCATCCTAATTTTCGTAACATCAAGTGTATTTCAATATTTATATCCTACCAGAGAAATAAGGACAGGACCAGGTCAACCAGATCCCATGCCAAATCAACCGACTGTAGCTCAACAACCAAACACTATTCTGTTACTTTCGTCCTAATTTTCGTAACGTCAAGTATAAAGGTCGTACCCAGTGCACAAGGCTCCCGCTTACGCAGGGTCTGGGAGAGGTGAATGTCGGCTAGCCTTACCCCCATTTATGGAGAGGCTGCTCCCAAGTCTCGAACCCGAGACCTACCGCTCATGGGCGAAGGCACTTGCCATCGCACCAAGTGCGACCTCTTCGTAACGTCAAGTATATTTCAATATTTTCACAATTCGTCTTTTGTGGTCATATTTTGTAAACCACTAGGACCCACCTTATTCCCATGCTTCTTCTTCCTTCACCTTGACATCCCTCTCCCCTTTTCTTTTTATGTAAACTCTCTCTCTCTCTTTCTCTTTCTTTCTCTCTCTCTCTCCAAACTCTCCCTTCTCTCATTTCTCTCACCTCTCTCATCTTTCTTTCTCTATAAATAAACAACAACAACAACACTCCCACCACCACCCAAACCAAGTGCACCACGAGCTTCCTCATTCTCACGAGCCTAGAACACCCAAACTCACCTCAAACTTCCTTCCGAGTCGTCGGGATCGAAACCCAAGTCAAGCCTCGACCTTCTAGGCCATTTTCTGGGCAAATCACTGTGAGTTAGGCGTTGCAAAAGGTACCATTCTCTTTGTCTCATCGAGAAGTATGATTTTTATTTTTGAATCATTGGATTTCGTTGAGTATTGAATAAGTTCTAAACGTTTAAATTTTACCCAATTTCTAGTGAGTTTCCCCAGCTTTCTCGTGGACCAGTCACCTTTCAAACCATTTTTTCAGCCATTTGTGGCAACCATTGGGCTTCCAAATAGGAATAATCTTGTTCTACACTTTCCTAACTTCGTTTTGATATATTATAGGTTGAATTTGGTTAAGAAACGGAGAAGTTACGAGGCTTTGAAAATTGCCCAAATTTCCAGCAAAAAACCTAGTTTTCGGTGGGGTTTCCGGAGACCTGGTTGACTTGACCCGTTGACCGTTGACCTAACCCGTTTAGGTAGGTTTGCTTATTAAATCCTCTTCAGTTAATAACAAGGCTTTGCCCAACTTTGCATTTATGTTAGGAATATGATACCAATATTCCAGCAGAGGTTGCGTGTCCAGCTGATCCTTAAGAGCAGTTCCACCAGGGAACTGATAGGCTAACACCTATCCAAAAAATGGCCCGGCACCCAGGCTTTGCAGGCTTTGCAGTCCAGCCCTGCGGATAGGCTAGCACCCAGCCTAAGCCAAACAAGAGACCGGCCCAGAATTAACAGACCCATGGGACGGCCTACATGACGCAGGCTAACGTCAGTCACTTTTTTTTGCGCCAGAAAGGGAGTTGTTGTGGAGGCTGAGGAGCGGAGCTGGTCGAGGTAGGAGAGGGTGTTGGGAGGGAAGGAGCCATGGAGGGAGAAGGCAAATTGCCTGAAAGTGATGGCCCGAGTTCGTCGAAAAATCTGAAAAAAAATGCACCGCCATCATGTTTGCATCAACGCAAAGGTTTCAACATGATTTATAAGTTAGAAACGATAAGAATAGGATTGAGAACTTACCCAGGTGAAATGCAAGAGATTTCACCGAGAATTGGACCTTGAACTCGTCGGAGTTTGTCCGTTTTCCTTTGTCGGAATCACATGCAGGGAATTAAGCCCTCAAATTAACCACAAAACTTGCAACATAACAGGATTTAAAGCTCAAGAACACAATATAGTGATAGAAACATCACCTGGGTTAGAGATTGAGAGCTCAAGCTCTCGACTTCAATGGTAGAACCTTGCACCATGCACTTATGTCGCATGCAAGGCCATGGTTGGGTTCCTTGAGCTCCAGGGATTACAAAAATAATATTTTGTGTTTGATTTGTTGAAGGTTTTGAAGAGGAAGGAGAAGGAGAGCTCATGGGAGTGAGCTGGAAAAGAGAGACTTTCCAGAGAGACAGAGAGAAAATAGATAGAGAGAGAGGGAAAGAGAGAGAGAGAGAGAGGAGAGAGAGAGAGAAAGAAAGAAAAGAGAAAGAACCGGTCAAATGAGAGGAAAAATATCATTATTTTAAAGGTCCAATTGGAGATGCATTTTATTTAATCATATTTTAATAAAATGGGGTAGGCTTTTTTTTTGTTAGGGGTGGAGGTGCATTTGACCTATTAATGTTCATTGGAATCTATCATTATTCGCTGAGTGGATTAAATAGGCTGGGTACTGGCGCATTGTTTTAAGGGCAGAATTGCTCTAATATTATTCTAGGAAAAGCAGCCCATGCACGTCTTCATTTCTAAGTAGCTTCCCACTTTCCCCCATTTTCTTCTTATTAGTTTGCCAATGCAAGCCTTTGTTTTATGGAAACTTTAACGAAAATCTCCCGGTACTGTTCACTTTAACGAAAAACCACATTTTTACACTAAAAAGTCAATCCTGGTACTATTCACTTTACCCTTTATTTTGTCCTTATCATTAAAACTCAAAGTTTTCAAGCCCTTTTCATTAGTTTTCCTTTGTTTTTTTATTATTTGCATACTTACTAGACTTTAATAACTAGCTACCTGCAGTTTGTTGGCTTCCATTCCTTCCAATCCGTAAGTAGTAATTAGACTACATTAATTTCATTGCTAAGTTTTTGTTTGTTTAGATACTATATATAATATGCTCCACCGAATCACAGGTCGAATATGGCACAAGGTGTTTCGGAGACCATGGAACAAACGGAACAAGGTGTTTCGGAGACCGAGGAACAAATGGAACAAGGTGTGTCTGCGTCTCCTTGCCAAAAGAACAGCGAAAAAAAAAGTCCTTTCCTATTTCATTATCAAATTAAATAATCGTCTATACTTTTTTCTTAAGAAAATGCTAAGATACTATGTTTTCATGCCACATTTGTGTGTCATCTAGTATTTAAAATATCAATATAAGTGGAAATATCGTATAAAAATTTATTAAAATATTGATATCGGTTGCCTTCAACAAAAATGTTAAAAATTTGCTTAAAAATTAAAATAATACTTTAAAGAATGTCATATCAAACCAAAATACATGTATTAATAATAAAAAATTAATGATTAAAATACTACATAACATGTCCATCTTTTGCGCAGATAAGAGATTCAAGGAGTCCTTATCCCACAAATCTGTTTTTTGTACGGAATCTTCCCACTGATGTACAATTCAATTAATCTTCACATGATACATATAACTTAATTCAAACAAAAACAATATCAACAGAAATATCTATTCCAACACATTTAATTTTTTTTGTCAAACGATATATTTGTTAAATTAGATGTTAGATTATAAAGTCGACTAGGTTCGAACTCACGTCATGGTGCAAGGGCCACACTCATCTCCACATTCGTCTGCAGATGTGCGCGATTTTAATTCCATGTAGAAATATAAATCCTTGACTTAATTTGATACAATGTACAAATCTAACTCCATGAATTAATTTGGCGATTTTGGTTCTAATTTTGTCTCATTTAGTCTCAGTTCACTCCTATTTTCGTTCATTCCGTAAAATAGATGTTAAACTATAGGGTAGTATGGACATTTTATTTTTTACACAACTCTTTGCCTCCAACTTGCCTGCTAAAACAATCTCAATTCCATTTTTTGATAACTCTAATTTAAACCCTTTGTCTGTCTCTCTTACGGATTGGTGTGGAGCTATAGCTACAACGGTTGACAAAAGCAAATAATGGGTTGTGTTTCAAAACTAATTCAATCCACTCAATGAATCCAACGGCTGCAACTACACCTTTTTTTATATGTATGAAAATAGAGTGAATTAAGACTAAATGAGACAAAAATGACAGTTTCAGAGACAAATCGAGATAAAATCAGTTTCAAGGGTTAAAGTAAGATTAAATGGTAGTTTCGCGGGCGCCGCCCGCGGGGGGGGGAGAAAAACTTGTATGGGGCTTGGCTTGCCACTGGACTTCGCTGGGTGGCACTACAATCCACTTAAAACTCGCCACATGGCAAATCTTAAATATAATATTTTATCCTTCTTTTATATTTAAAATTTTTATAATTATTTTTTTAACTAATTAATATATTATATATATTAATGTTATGTTTCCTTTTTTATTTCTTTCCCCCTATTTTTTTTCTTCCCAAATCCTCCCCACACTTTGTTTTGCCATAGGTCTTAGGAGATGTGGTTATCCTTGGATTAGTCAGTCAGTACCTAAGGGTGCGTTTGGTACGCAGACGGAACGGAACGGGATGGGACGGGACGGGACGGGACGGAACGGGACGGAACGAAACGGAGGTTCGTGTTATGTTTGGTACGCGTAGGACGGAACGGTTTGGATTTCGTGTTAAATGACTAACTTAGCCTTGTTTGTACAATTGCTGAGTGCGAGTATGAACTCAAACAATCAGACCCCAGTTTTCGTTTTCCTTCGTTTTCTCGGCAACCAATCCAGTTTCAGATCTCGTCACCAGCAAACCCTCCAATCAATTTCAGATCTCGTCACCAGCAAACAATTACAAGAAGAAAAAAAACAGAAAAATCCCAAAATCAAACACAGAAAAATCCCAAAATTCATTTCAATCAATTTCTGCAGCTTCGTCATCGTCCTCCCTGCAGCGTCGTCATCGTCTTCCCTGCAGCGTCGTCATCGTCTTCCCTGCAGCGTCGTCATCATCCTCCGTGCAGCGTCGTCGTCGTCGTCGGCCTGCAGCGTCTTCCCTGCAGCGTCGTCATCATCCTCCGTGCATCGTCGTCGTCGTCGTCGGCCTGGCTATGGTGACGGCGCCGGAGAAGAAGAGGGGTTGCTGGTGACGGCTCCATGGTGACGGCGCCGGAGAAGAAGAGGGTTTGCTGGTGACGGTGGTGACGACGCCGGAGAAGAAGAGGGGTTTGCTGGTGACGGTGGTGACGTCGTCGTCGTCGGATGGGTTTGCTGGGATTGGGTTACTGGGTTTGTGGTGGATGAAGAGGGAGGTTACGGGAAAGAAGGGATTGGGTTACTGGATTTGTGGTAGAACAGAGGGAGGTTACGGGAGAGAAGGGAGGTAGACAATGTAATTAATGAAAAATAAAAGGGGTATTGTTGTCCAAAAAAAAAAAAATTGTGTCCCACGGGATGGAAAAACCTGTTCCAGGGGGGGAGGGGGAACCAAAATCTGACCCTTTTTCGTTCCGTGGGACGCGTGTTCCACACAATTTTAAGGCACCAAACGTGGGACGGAACGGTTCCGTCCCATCCCACGTACCAAACGCACCCTAATTGTTCAAACTAATTCAAAATTTCATTTAAATGAGTTTGTTTAATTCTAAATTGATGAATAAAGCTCCTAATACCATTTTGATTTTTACATAGCACAGTTGAGGTCTGCCGATTTAGTTGTTTTGCTATGGCGGTTGATGGAATAGTTCTTAATGGTAGATGAAGATTGATGGCTTTCTTTCTTTAAAAAAAAAAAAAAGTTATGACCCCACTCCAATTTTATCATGGAAAGCAACCAAGAATTTGTAAGTTTTTTTCTTTCTTTATACAATAGTTGCTTTGATCATGTGACATGAATAACCCACATATATAGCTGTATTAGGGTTATTTTTTTTTCTTTTAATTGGGGGGTTTTTGGGTTCGGGTGAGGGTTTTGGTTTTTTATATTTATAATATGATAAAAGTTTTTTAACAGCTAATGTTTTTTATCAGAGTTTTATTGTATAAAGAAAGAAAAGAAACTTACAGATTATTGATTGCTTTCCATGATAAAATTGGAGTGGCTGCATAACTTTTTTTTTTTTAAAAGAAAGAAAGAAACGAAACTGGAAAGGAAAGAAAGGGGAGGGAGTCCTAAGACCTACGGGTAAATAACAAGTGTGGGGGGATTTGGGAAGAAAAAAATAGGGGGAAAGAAATAAAAAAGGAAACATAACATTAATATATATAATATATTAATTATTTAAAAAAATAATTTTAAAAATTTTAAATATAAAATAATGATAAAAGATTATATTTAAGACTTGTCACGTGGCGAGTTTTAAGTGGATTGTAGTGCCACTCAGCAAAGTCCAGTGGCAAGCCAAGCTCCATACAAGTTTTTCTCGCGGGGGGTGGGGTCAATTAATAAGGCAATAATTTATTGTTACAGGGGGGGTGGGGTGGTGGGGGGCGGGGTCAAATAATAAGGCAATAATTTATTGTTACATATATGTACTAGCTTTTAGAGATTAGGTGACTCTTCTTTCAATGTCACATCTCAAAATTGGTATGCTCTACTACTAATGTCGTTTTTTGTATCCATATAACTTTAATTAAGAATATCCAAGTCTTTTTTTTAATACACCTTTATTAAGGAATAATCTTCCTATACTTATAAAATTGGTTTTGTCATAACATTATTACTTTATAGAGATTTACTGTAAATGACTCTCCTTCCTGCAATCATATTGGGATCACTTTTCCCTAGCACAATCACACACGTAATCAATCATGAGCATTGTATGTCTAATTTTACCATAATTTTCATATATTTGTAACCATATTCATATTCATATTCATGCACATTTAGCATTTTTTTTTTTAATTGATTGAAGGATTTTTAGCCAAAATGATGCTGGAGATTTGCATAACTCCTCACTTTGGTCTTTAAGATTTGAAATCGATAGAGTTGGTCCTTGAATTTATCCACAAACAATCATTTTGGTCATTGCGTGAAAAATCTCCATAAAATAAGAATAAAATGACAAAAATATCCTCAAATTTTGTCAAATCATTTTGGCCTATTATTTATTAAACTGAGGGTATTTTTTTGTTATTTTGATCCTTATTAAACATAATTTTTCACCGAATAACAAAAATGATTGATGATGGACAATCTCCGAGATCCGCTTCCATTGATTTCAAATCTCATAGACCATTTTGGCTAAAAAGCCTTGTTTGAACATATTTAAACTGTGTATTTAATTAATGGTATGAATGATTTCTTGGTTTTCCTTGTGATTAAATTTCATGCTCTATTTTCCTAACACTTTGGAGTGTTAATCACAATGATCCCATATAATTTTTCTAGTTGTCATATAATTTCATATAACTTCATTAAAAAGTTAAATAACAAGGAACCCATAACATTATCTTCCATCGTTTCTATGATTGAAGTTAAAGTACAAAATAGTTCATGCATCAAACTAAAGAATTATGGGGAAATTAACAATAACAAAACAAGGTTAATTTGACAGGATTTGGATATAGTCAGTGTAAACCTTTCTTTGAGGCTGTGCAAGCTGGTCGTTGGGAAACTACAAAGGACTTTCCCATCAAACATCCGGAGGCAGTAAGAGTAACACATCCAGCGTCTGGGAAGACAGCTCTTCACATTGCAGTTGAGGCTGGGCATGTGGATATTGTCAAAGAATTGGTGAGGTTGATGGAAGTGGACGACTTGGGAATAAAAGCAACAACAGATCATCGGACAGCTCTTGCTACTGCTGCAATTAAAGGGATTACCAAAATGGCTGAATGCATGGTACCAAAGAACAAAGAATTACTCAGCATTCCCGATGGACACGACATGCTTCCAATTGAGCTAGCTTATTTGTATGGTCATTGGCATATGGCTCAATTTCTCTACTCCAAGACTCCACTTGAAGATTTAATGCCAGACAAAGGACCTCATGGCGCTATAATAATCTGCAATTGTTTTGCATCCAAAGAATTTGGTAAAAAGTTTTTAAATATGAGTAATAACATGCTATTGAGGACTACAAAAATGAAAATTAAGGGTTCGGTTGATAATCATTTCAATTGTTTGGTAAACTACTTTCAATTTTCTAAAAAAAAATAAAAATAAAAACTGAAATTAAATGTTTGAAAACTTAAAAAAATAGCTTTCAGTTTTTATTTTTATTTTTATGAAATCTGAAAGTTAAAAGTATTTATCAAACAAGTTTTTGGTTTTCAAATTAAAATCATGATTACAAAAACTGAAAACGAAATGATCATGTGACTTAAAAAATAAATAGCTTATTCTAGCTACAGTTTACTCTTTTTACCCATAGCTACAAATTACTATAGCAAACTAATTATTTCTGAAAAATTCTTAAACGTTTAAAATAAACAGATATCTCATGGCGTTTAATGAACCATTGCCCAAAATTGGCCTTTACTCGGGGCAGCGGAGACAAGACCCCTTTAGAAATTTTGGCATTGCAGCAGGCTTCTTCATTCCGGCGCGGAGTAGAGCTCAATTTCTGGCAACAATGGATTTATGACAGTTAGTGTACAACATACTTCTCTTTCTATTAATTATTTGCCCTTCACTTTTATGACATATTTTCTTGTCTTGATAGGCATAGACATAAAACCTCCTCCTTGCATTAATCATATTTCTGTAACTGTTCAAGATGACGGAAGGAGTTCAATTTGCTCAGGTTTGCTATCCCCTTCCTCTCCCATCATTAACCAGTTAGGAAGTGTTGCATAAAAGGTACGATCTAATTTGGGTTATCCACTTCGAATTCCCGCTCAACTTTAACAAAGGGAGTACATGATATTTCTCCTTACTTGTACGTAGAAGGTCTCAATTATAACTCACATAGATGACACATTCAACACTTAATTACTATGACCAATCCCTCCCTACCTTGCTAAATTTGGAGAGATTATTAGGAGAGTTTTCTTCATTTGTGGAGATTATTGGGAGGATAAGTGTAGGTTTGGTAATGAGAAATATAAAATGCGTTAGACATGTTATTTTTAAGAATAGACCCATAAAACGAATAACATAAAATACAATATTAGCCTAAATTATGTAAAACATTAAAGTTATTTTTCCTGTGAAGTTTAATAACAAAATAAAAACCACAAACTAAGTATAAAACAAGGTTAGAATTTTAAGAAAGAAAAATCTTGTCCTCCCCCGCTACCACCTTACAATGGTCTTCGCAAATAGCATCCATACCGCCATATCTCCACTACCAAGCATCATTGGCACCAGATCCTACACCTATCCCATCACCACCCCATCACCGGGCCGCCACCGTCACAACCTCCTCCACCATCTCCGCCATCATCAATCCTACTCCCTCATAACCACCATTTCCACCACCATCATTGTTAACCACACCCTCACTCATGTTACCATCATCATTGCCACTATGGATGCAAATTTCGTACAGTTGAAATGACGAAACTCCACATACAAATCAAGAAACATCGTAAATCTAATTGACAAACACCCAAAAAATGAGGGAATGTATCCACCAAAGGGCCTCCGATGCCTGAAGTTATATCAATACCTGAGAAGAGACGATCATAAGCTTCACGAACCTGTGAAAAAAAAAAAGGAAAATAACATTAATGAATTTGAATTAACTACAATTTTCTCTAAGACCCTGCTTCCTATAAATAAGTACTCTACTTAAAAATTCAATTCTCATTGTTAGCTGTTTAACCCATTAAAAAAAAAAAAAACTTAAATTAAGAAACAGTTGAAAAAATATGATATCAACTACCACATATGCCAGTGATGTTCAAGACCAAAACTTTCAAACATTAAAAACAAAAAAAATGCATTACTACCAAGAAAACTCAATGCATTACTCGCAGGCGTTGGACCCCAGTTTTTCATGCAATGAAGCTCACTTTACCACATTCCCTTCTTGCCTATAACTTTTAAGAGTCCCACAGCTTTTTATGAATTGAAAAATAAAGCTTTTACAGAACATAGTCTAAAGAAAACGCGATGAGCTAAGAACAATATATTGAAAATAGATAAAGAACTTACGTCTCTGTGGAACATCTTCGTCAGCTTTCAACTTCGCTCCACCTGCACACACACATATATATATATATATACAAGCATCAAATCGATGTTCACACTCTTGGCATCTAGTTAGAACAATAATTACACCAAGAAAACTTGACTTTTCAACAACCCAATTGATGTTGTATTGCAATCTATACAACCAGTGACAGATTAAAATAGAAAAACAACAACAACAACAAAAAATCCTAAATCAAATTGAAGCAGTGTAAAATCGAGATTGAAAACGCGAAAATACCCAAAACTCGCGCTATAACCACTGGCTCGACTTCACCGTCAGCTTCGGCCTCATCACACACATCGACGTCACTCCAACCCCGCTCTTCACCGTCCCGCCGCTCCCATGCCTACAAAACACACAAAAGCCGATCAAAATCCTTACGTTTCTTAGATCTGAAATTGAGGAAATTCGGTTACGAATTTGCAGAAACTAACCTGGGGTTTGGAAAGAGGACGGGAAGAGGATTCTGGAGGTATAATTTGACAGTCGTTGGTGACCGGTGGACCGCAACGCCGTTGAAAGAGAAGAGGAAGCGAGGATGCAGGAGGGAGGAGAGATTTCTCCAGGGGGAGAGAGGAGAGAGAGGATTAATAACTTCTTTCTTTTCATAATTTTTTTTAAAATTGTATTTTACACAACAGGTACTATATTTTTATACAAAAGTAGCATTTGCCTACCTATTTTATATGTATGAACACATTTTTTCTTTAGAAAAATGGTAAGAAGAGACAAGGAGAGAGAGAATGTGAGAGGAGTGGTAGGTTTTTAGGCGGATTTGGTCCTGAAGTGATTCTGAAAAAAGTTGGGAGCTTTTTTGTGTATGGTAAACATTCAGCTTCAGTTTTTTTTCACAGTTTTGGGTGAAAAAAAGCCAAAAACAAGAAGCTACAAAACCCAGCTTTGAAAAACCAGTTTTTTTTCACATCTGTTTTACCTAAAAGTTTACCAAACACTATAATACTGTTTTTTTTTTTCAAAAGCATTTTTACAAAAAAGTTTACCAAACACTCTACAGCTTTATTTCACAGTCGCTTATTCTTACAGCACAGCAGAAACAGTTTTTTTTCAAAGTACATCAATATCAAACCAGCCCTTTGTTTGACAAAGGGAATTTTATTAATATAGTCTTTTTATCCGCTTTTAGTTGACAAAGAGAATTTTTTTCACATCTATTTTACATAAAAGTTTACCAAACACTATAATACTGTTTTTTTTTCTTTTTCAAAAGCATTTTTACAAAAAAGTTTACCAAACACTCTACAGTTTTATTTCACAGCCGCTTATTCACACAGTACAGCAGAAACAGCTTTTTTTCAAAGTACAGCAATACCAAACCAGCCTTTAGTTTGACAAAGAGAATTTTATTAATATAGTCTTTTTATCCGTTTTTAGTTGACAAAAAGAATTTTATTAATATAGTTTTAAATTTACATATTATTTAAATATACTAAACACTAGGGCCATGTTTAGTTGCTTTGTAAAGGCTCAAAAGCCATTTTTTCACACATTTTATAATATTCAACAAATCCTCTTTATAGAGACAACAGTGTTCTGTGATTATGTTCTGTCAAATAAGTTACCAAGCCAATGTATACACGTCGCACTTCTCATAGTTCCCGAGGTCGAGACAATGTACTATCAAGAAATGAGAACTCAGAGTATCTTCAAAATAGATGTTAAATATAGTATGTCAAAATTTTATTGGATGGTTGATGTGGCAAATTGAATATAAGTGTTAAATCATTTTCTTTTCCAATAAATGTGTCAAATATTTATTTTATTATATGGTTGTTAATGGGACTCATGCATTAACAAATTAAATTAAATATATTTGACTCCTTCTTTGTTTGTGTCAAAAAATGCAGCTAAAAAGTAAGAAGTCAAATAACTCACATACCACATCATATATGGCATATCCATTAGAGAACACTTGAATATCTTTTAATCTTATTTGGCATATTTGACATCTCTTTTGGAGATTGTCTTAAATGTGTGAGGTCCAACTACTGTCAAATTTAGTGGTATCTTAGGATAGAGCTTGAGGCATGTTGGTTAAAAAGTCAACAGTCGGTCAAAATGGCAGCTCTAGGGTTATGAAACCCTTCTTGGTCTACAAACATTGGATTTCCATTATGCAAGTTCCATTTGGTCGGTTGTACATCTAACAACATGCTCCATAGGTTTGACCAACTTTTTTTCCATCGCAGCGGGAGGTTTAATGGAACAGCTTGCTTCTCATTCAGAAAAACTAAGGGAAAGGCTTGTTTCGAAAATCGTTGAGATACCTGGTATGCTAGTAACAATTTCATTTGTTGTAAATTGGAATTCAAATCAATTATCTAAAGCAGTTTAAGTCCTAAATATTTGGGTTTTAAATGTTGAACTCAGGAATCAACCGCATATATGAAATGAAGTTTGTCCATGTCCACTCACTTGAATTTTTAAAGTTCATGTGCGAAGAGATAAAGAAAGATTTGGATATGAAACAAGTAAGTTATGGCACTTTGAGATCGGCAATCTTCCAGGCTGTTAGGAAGGGGAATGTGGAGTTTATTACTCATATATGTAAAGCAAATCCTGTACTTCTGTGGTCAAGAGATGACGAGTCAAGAGGCATATTTGACGTTGCGATCCAATGTCGTCAAGAAAAGATTTATAACCTTATATATGGGATCTCTTCGAAAGAGGTGATACATGGTGGTGACAAGAATAATAATAACAAGCTACACATGGCTGGGTTGTTGTCCCCATCTGCACAAGCACAACTTAATCGTATTCCAGGGGCAGCATTGCAAATGCAGCGTGAACTACAATGGTACAAGGTTAGGATTTCTCACTCGACATAATTCTTGATTACTCTGCCTATATAAACTGAAAGAATCAAATTAAGTGTTCGAGAGGTTCTGGATTTGTTTTCCCTTTTTGTAATAATCATCCAAATCTAGCATCAACTATTAGGTACTGGGGGAGGAAGGGAAGAATTGGACTCGACACTTCGGAAAAATGCTCTTAACTAACTGAATTATAAGTCCCCTTGTCTGCTTACTAGGTGTCAATCTTAGTTTGTTTTCCTAAAAAGTTTCTTGCATTAAAGATTCTGCATTTTGAAAGAGTTAGTTATTTACTTTTTGGATCTATTGAAAGCAGATGTTCAACCTAACCCAAATTGTAAAATTAACACAACCTATTGAACATCATGACCAATTGTAGGTGCTCTCATATGTCAGTACAAATGTTAAAAGTAACACAACCTAACACAAGTTACAAATCTTAGAATGTAAAAAGTAGGTGGTTAATCCTAATATAATAAAGATTATAGAAAATTATATATTATGCTCTCATATGTCAGTTCTTGTTGTTCAATGCAATGCAGGAAGTAGAGACTATTGTACCTCCCAACTTTCGTGAGTATAGGAACAAAGGTAAACATTTGACACCAAGGGAACTATTTACAAAGACTCACAGTAGATTGCTAAAGGAGGGAGAAAAATGGATGAAAGAGACGGCAACTTCTTACATTATTGTAGGTGCTCTTATATTTACCATCATGTTTGCTGCAGTAATCACAATTCCTGGAGGAAATGGAGATACCGGCTTTCCCGCATTCATCGATGAAAAATTGTTTATGTTATTTATAATGTCAGATGCTATATCACTATTTTCTTCCACGACTGCAACGTTGACGTTTCTCGGAATTCTCACGTCACGTTTTGCAGAAGATGATTTCCTGAAATCCTTACCAACAAAAATCATAATTGGTCTTGCCACTCTCTTTTTGGCTATTGCAACCATGATGATTGCGTTTTCCGCTGCCTTTCTAATTATAGTTCGTGGACACTCCTGGATTGTGATTCCGACCATACTTCTTTCAAGTGTTCCAGTCACTTTATTTGTTTGGATGCAATTCCCCCTTCTAGTTAGAATTACCGCTTCTACGTACGGAAGAGGAATATTCAATAGGAATGTGGAACGCTGGTTGTAAGGTATTTCATTATTTTATATTTCTTATTGTATCTGTTTATGTGGGATCCTAAAATTAGAGGTGTAACTGATTCGATGGATTATATATTAAGGAATAAATTTGTGGTATATTTGGAACCTCTCACTTACAAATGAAGAGAAACACCACTAGACGTATTAGTAAATGACATCTTGTTTTTGTGTATTGACTGATTCGTTTTTATTGTATGATGAATGATTTGATTGTAGTTACTACATTACAAGTTCGAATAAGAAGCACACAAGGCACCCAACAGGATGCGCACATGAACTAATCATTCAGATTATCCCATCATCTTTAAGACAATAGACCAGTTCACTAATGAAACCAATAAAGAAAGGAAACGAAAAGCCATAAGTAAATTTAAACTGTAGCAAAAGCTATTTCATTATCTTCATGGCCAGTTCACAAACTGAGAATCCAGATTAAGTAGTTTTACGTCTAAGCACTATGATGTTGAACATAGATCTATCAATCACAGTAAGAACTGAAAGTTTTTTTCAACCTGATGCACCCGACGATAGATCTTGTCCCAACCTCTAATGTCAGACAGTAGAGGTTTAACCATATAACGCACGCCATGGCTCCCGATCGTCTTTTGATTTTCTTGTTGGATTCCATGTGATCTTGTCTCTTGAAAAGGAAAGGTTCAAAGTGCTTGCTAAAAGTTCTCCAATCTCATAAAGTATCTGAAAAAGAATCCACCTAGAGTTAGACAATATACGAACACTCGGGAAACAGACAGATTCATAGAGAACTATAAGGAAGAGAAAGAAACAAGGCTAAACGACTTATTTTCAGCAGTGGAACATGGAGAAACTGAGCATACACTATTTTTCCCACTCATCTCTCAAGCAAATCGTAGAAATACAAATCACATGGCCTCCAAACCCAACTCGAATTCAATCATATGTCACAAAAATTCTAGGTAAACTGAATGTTGACAGTTGCATTAGATAAAGTAATAAAAAAGACTGTATACCTGAAACTCTTCTTTATCATAAACGTGTTGACCTCTTTGCCCAATAAGAACATATACTGGCAACTTCAAAACACGGACCAACTGAAGAAAGCAAGCCAAAGGTTCATGATGAATCTGCAAGGATGGCTGTGGCTTCTGGGTTTTGGTTGCCATAGCCTTGCTTATGGCTGTTTCTGAACCAATCTCTATACCATAAAGTGAACATTTGCTTTCAAATTTTGTTGCAGATTTACTTTCCCCCTTTAGCTTGGATGACTCTAGGAAAAACGGGGCAACGACTGTGGGAACTGAGGATGAATTCTGCCCTGCTAATTGTGCTAGAACTTCACTAATAGCGCAGGCTAGTATTGGCGGTTCATGGTATTCCATAAGCAGCACAGACACCTGAAAAAGACAAAATTGAAGAGAAATTTTTTTAAAGTTCCCCTAATCTGTTATCTTCAAGATATGTTAGAAGATAAATAAAATAGTTATTCACTCTGTCCTAGTAACTCAAGCTGTTGGAAATAGTAATAAACCGACAAACTCAACACAAATCAAAGCTGTTGGCTCACATCCTAACAACTAAAGCATTTCAGAGCAGTGTAGATGGATAAACTTTATGAAAAACAGAAAACTGCATAAAAAAATAATGTGGAACCTTCCACTGTTATCGTCACAGCATGAGTTCTGAAACACAAAGGAACAAAACTTTTACAAAGTAATTTAATGGGTTTCTACCACTATGGGCATAGAAACCAAATCTACAAGCATTCTTCGAAAAACGCCTGCAACCAGGTCCCTTTAGACCTCACAGATCACTCACAATTCCATAACACCGAGTCGATTTTAAACCCCACATGGTTTTGAAAAACCAGCATCGTTTTCAATTTCAATCACACACAATCTAAACCCCAAATTGTCACAAATTTCACTTTCACCATAAAAACTAGTACACATTTCATTACAAAATACACGACCCATTTCTCAACACCCAAATCCCACATAGAATCTAATCTATACGAGACAGAATCTATACGAATACAATCCCGCTTCTGGGTCCTAAACAATTCCATGAGAGAGAGAGAGGAAGAGAGAGAAGGGGAACCTCATATTGGCCCTGGGGATCGAGGAAGTGGCGAAGGGTTCCAGAAGCTTTGCAATTTTGGATTCCATAGCGCTCCAATGAAAGCTCGAAACTTTCTTCTCTGCAACAAATTGGCGCACCGAAATCAATCGATATAATATGAATTTGATCTCAAACTTAAAAGGGTTATTTTTTTTTTTTTGGCGAACCTTAAAAGGGTTATTAGGAAGAGATCTTACACAGTAGAATTGCTTGGATTTGGGCGGAAAGCAGCTGAGATGGCTTCGCCGAAGCCCTCTGAGTCTCTCAGCAGAAACACTACCTTCGAACCAACCTTCATTTTCTTTCTGCTCTATCTTCTAACCAATGTCCGGAGGTGCGCGCACTTGCAATTTCTAGGAGATCGAGTGCCGCTTTTTTTTTTTTTTTTTTTTATTTTATTATTTATTATTATTATTATTATTATTTTTGTGTAGTTTAAATAAGCGGATGAGGTGTTTGGCTAAGCAACACAATGGGCAGCTTAATTTGGTATCGAATTCGCCATCATGATATTCAAACTTAAGAACTCTCACTTCCAAGTGAAAATGAATACCATAAGATCGTAGTACTAAGTAGCTAAATCAATGGCATTTATTTTTTCTTCTTTATGGGGTAAGGTTTATGGCTTGCTTTGATTATTCATTTCCCATTCAAAACTAAAAATTTGTCACTTAATCCTTGAAAGTCACAGAAGTAACTTAATTAGATTGTAGATAGAGTAGACGAAAGAAGACCAATTGAGATAGAATTCAACTTTTAAGGAGTTAAGTGACGACTTTTCAATTTTAGAAAGTACAGTACGATTCGAATCTTGTTTTAGGTGACAAATGAGTAGAATAGACCAATTTCTCTAACAAATCAACTGTAGAATTAAGGGAACTTTAACGAAAAGCTCCCGGTACTGTTCACTTTAACGAAAAACCACATTTTTACACTAAAAAGTCAATCCTGGTACTATTCACTTTACCCTTTATTTTGTCCTTATCATTAAAACTCAAAGTTTTCAAGCCCTTTTCATTAGTTTTCCTTAGAATTAATGGCACGCCGCATGATATATGCTTGATACTTGAATATTGGCTTGAGAAAATTTCTCTATCTTTTCTTATTCTAAAAAATTAATGGCACATCACGTTTGACCTGATAAATATATTTCGGCCAACCTAGCTTCCTCTGTCCATCAGAGCCAACAAAGAGTACTTCGCGGTGGTGCAGTGATGAGATATGAAAGTATAGTGCGGTTCAATACGCGTTTTACGATCATACATGCATATTTTTTATTTTTTCATACAATCTCAATGAGTAGTTAAATTATGCCTTTTTTCCCAAAATGTGAAAGTATATATTGTACACTTTTTCAATGCAACATACAAACTTCACATATTATTTATTGATAAAATGAAAATAAGTCAGATTAGGAAATATTCAAATTTAATATAATGGCTGATGTTTTGGAGAAAAACTTGTGTGAGACTTATATTGTCACTGGATTTTGCTAAGTGACACTACAATCCAATCAAAACTCACCGCATGACAATTCTACAATATAAAACTTTTATTACTTTTTTATATTTAAAGCTCTCATAATTATTTTTTCTATTAATTAATACACACCATGAGATTAATCTAATGTTTTTTTTCCCACTCGTGTCTTCCTTTCCTTTCTTCATAAGAATATGATAAAAAAAAATTAAGCCATTAAAATTTTCTTCCCAAGTCCTTTCAATTGCTGGGAAAAGGAAAATGGAGATGGAAGTTTGTTCCTTTTTCCTTTGTTGTGTAATATTTTTCAAAATCTATTTTTCCTTTTTTACTTTTCACCGACCTGAATGTATATATAAAAATATAGTTTTCTTCAGGTATGTGATTCTAACTCACCTTGTATCATCAACAGTCGGTTTTGGTCACTGGGTTTCCAACATTTGCAATCTTAATCACTTTAGTAAGTTTTGTGTTTAAAATATCAAAATGTTCATTATTATTTATAATATTGTTAAAAGTATATAATTAAATTTTAAATGAACGAACAACTCTTGTAAAAATACAGCTTTTGTGTAAAATATGAAATATGTGTTGGATATTTTTTTTCCATTTCATGATAGTGGGAGAAGATGACTTAATTGTTTTTTTCCATATTCATATGAAGACAGGAAAGACAAAGAGTGGGGAAGAAGACAGTAGAGAAAATTTGGGAAGAAAAAAGAGGGAGAGGAGAAGAGGAAAAAAAAATCACTAAATTATTCTCGTGGTGTATATTAATTAGTAAGAAAAAAATTATAAGAGCTTTAAATATAAAAAATAAAAGATTATACTTAGACTTACCATGTGGTGAATTTTGATTGGATTGTAGTGCCACTTAGTAAAATCCAATGGCAAGTCAAGCCCTACACAAGTTTTTCTCGATGTTTTGACATACATCTCTTAAAAGTTAAGACAGATGAGGTTTTGTTGAAATTGGAAGCAGCTTAGCTAGTCTGAATCCCAGGTGGTTTCAAAATTTGGATGAAGTTTTTGCTAAAATTTCATATATGTAACCCTAATTTGCTAGAATCTCTTGACCATTGATCTTCTTGAACTTTTTCCACTTCAACCAATTTAACACCAGTGAATAAGAAAATCAAAAGTAATTTTGCATGATTTGCCTTGGATTAATCTATCGAAACAAGTGTAAAATGAATCAATTCATCCACCCATTTTTCATGGTTTTGGCTACAATTAAACTCTGGAACATAGTTCAGTGTCGTAACGTTTGATACTTGAATATTAATTCAAAGCATTTTCTTTTCACTTTCTTATCCTGAAAATTAACAGTAATATCGGTCCTTAAACCCTAGCCATATCCACATTACACCAACACCCCTTTAATTTTCCACACACAGAAAATAAAAATGGCAAGAATTTAATAATAAATCCACTTGAAAAATTGCAAGAATAAGTAGATCATGGAATAGCATTTCTAGACCTTAATTTTCTTAATTTCCTGCATATATAATACGAATACAATTTTACATTATTATATATGCCTCCCACCATTCATCATCCTCCAAATACCTTCCCTACCAAAGGCTACCCACTATCCTATAACAGCACTAAACGGGTGACACCAACAGTTAAAAAAGTTCAATTTACAAATTATCAAATGAATATTAGAGTAACCTTATATATGAAGTAATGCTACGACCATAATTTACAATTTTACAACCATTTTCTGTTTTTTTTTTCCTTTTTCTATGAGTTAGTTTCCCTCACTCAATCTTATATGCATGAAGAAACAGGCAGAAGTCAGAAGATGTTGAGTTACTAGTCTGAGTTGAATAATAAGGACTGCTATGATCACTGTCTATGCCGCCGTTGCCATCTCTGTCGTGATCGCTCTCTGATTCCGGCGGCCCTGGCTTGAAAATAAACAGCCCGTGCCCAGTCCCGGGGCTGCTGAAAAGCCAATCGTGCACGTCCCAGAAAACTTGAACCGGTTGCATGTTCACCATTACGGTCTGATTCCCTCTGAATTTCCACTGCAGATTCTTGACATGAATCAACACAAACCCATCTATGCTGATCCACATTTCGGGGTCTATGGAGCCCGATGTTGAGCTCTCCACGACAATGTCATGCTCTTTTATATTCTCATCAAACTTCACTCTTGTGGCAAAACTTTTCTTGGCAAACACGTTTTCTTTTTTGTGGTATAAAAGTGCCTCCACAAGGGCTGGTCTGGATTTTGTTCTCTTGTATGCCTTTTTCTTCATGTCTCCCAATAACAACACAATCTCCTCATCGCAAACAAGAGCAACATAAAAGTTAGAACAAGGTTCTGGGCCGCCGCCAAATTTTGCAGAATGAAGATCCCAACAAACCTCCCCTTGATTCCCTTCGACCTCGAATGACTTATACCCTTTTTTGCTCCAAAAATTCCATGGCTTTAGGTCGATTTTGCACGTATAATGAAAACCGCCGTCTAAGCTATCAATCCGAATGCTGAGGGAATGGTTCATGAGGTTCTTACACCATATGATCGTCACCTTCCGCCAACATGTCGCAATATTTGCAAGGTAGACGCAAGTCACCGTGCTTTGTGCGGTTTTCGTTGTCACAGGGTCTTCTGTGATCTTCTCTGCAAATGGTGGAGGCTCATGTAATGATTGACCTCGTATTGATCGACTCAAAGACTGCATCTTTGCAAATGTAGATGCTTTCTCGAAACAATAATGCTAGAGTCGCGAAATTTGTTCACCAAAACTGATGTATACTTCCGATAGGAGTTGATGATCGGAAAAAAATATAATAATATCGCGGATTGAATAAGCATGCGGATTGAGGATGAGAAAGAGATGTGTAATGTTTAAGGTTTGATCGGTAGCAATTTAATCATCAAATATTTCTTGCCACCTCCATTTTCATGTGCTACACCAACAAATATGTAAAATTGTTGGGTTAGCAATCATTGAATAGGTTAGGTAAAAAGTTTCACATTGATTTTTTTTTTTTTCAATTGTGGATCTTGAAATCTAATGCTAATGAGAATGAAAAGGGATTGGATATTTGGAGCTTACAACTTAACCTCTTGGGATCTTTGGGATTCTCGGTGCCTTTGGATATGGCCTATTGACATGGATGGAGATTGATGAGAAACTGGTTTGACAGAGAGAGGAGAGAGAGGGGTTGGTGAAGAGAGAGACGAGGAAGATCAAATACAGAAAATAAAACCAAATAAACAAAGCGCTCTTTTTCACAGATGAAATGTACCTTGTTGAACACTTGCTCCCTCTGTGAATGCACAAGTCCACCAGCAAAGAATGCGCATCCAAGCACGAGCAACACGTTCGATAAGATTGAGCCTAAGGATTGTTGAACAACACGAATCATGCCTCTTTTCAGAGCGTAAATTGATATTATCAATTCTGTTGCGTTTCCAAAGGTGGCATTCAAAACACCTCCAACTGCAGAATTAACTCATAATTGGAGTTATGGATAACATTTTTGGATCAACAAATGAATATTAATTGTAAAGTTAGTGCGACCGCTTTCAAAATTTAGGGTTAAATGTGAAAGGAAACATGTGATGCAGGTGAAGTACTGGCTGGATGAAGATAATTTTAGAGTGCTCAAACCAAACTTACAAGCTTTATGAAGATTTATGGAATCTGGCATTGATCAGTGACACAAACTTGAAGCTTTATGAAGACTATGGAAATAGAAAAATGGATATTTGCATTTACAACATGCTTACCTGTTGGTCCAGTATAGCAAGCCAGCTGCCTGCATCAAAAGAAGCCAAGCTTGTATTAGGTACTCAATAATGCATATCGATGGCAAATTAAGTTGATATGGATGTCCGTCTCATGTGCACGCAGATTAAACCCTAATATGCTAAAACACTAACAAATGTTGTTTTCTAATACATCAAGTTAACTGGATGGTTGTTCAAACAAGGCTGTTGGATTCCACTTGTAAACATTTCTTTTTGTAAACAAAGAATACAAAGAGAATGCAAGAAATCTTACTCTGTGGCATAGACTAATCGCTCCGCCAAATGTATGATTCCCAACAAGCTTAAAAGAAAGACCTAACCCTGAAACGCGTTAAAAAAATCAAATAAACTAGGCATACAATCGTGTGATGATCCGAGAGATTCGCACACAGAAAAAGATAGTGAAAACTCACATGATGGCCGGTTAATTTATCAACCACGATTGCTACGATTGCTAAAGGGCCAAAAGGAATGAGCAAATTAATTTTGGCAGAGAAAACTACAATCCTGATGCTATCGACAACACTATTCTTCAAGACATGGGGACAACAGTCATTTGCACCACCAGAATATAGAGCCCTGAGGGGAGCCTCGTCCAATGAATGCTTCTCGCCCCCAACTAGGCTCTGATCCTCAAACTCAAACACTGATTTGGGCTGTGTTGATCCCATCTGTGGAGTCGAAATCTTTGTTACCAAAGATTATCACTGCTACCAAAAGAAAATGCCTTTGATACTATATACAGCTAAAGAATTTAAAGCTGACCTCAGCATGGGAATTTATTTTTATTGTGGCTGAATCATTGTTCCTGCTATTGTTGTCGTTGTTGTTGCTGTTGTAATGGTTATCAGAATCCATGAAGTGGAAGTAAAAACTCTATGCCAAGAAATCAACAAGAATTCCATCCCCAAACATGCGCATCACTGCTACATCACATTCTCCACAATCAACACACATACATAGTATAATAGAAATCAACATGAGATCTAAAAATTTTATGCCTATACACACACATAATACACATAACATCTATGCATATACTCTCTACCTGTTTTTAATAAAGACCATATCCAGTGGCGTAAGCAAGTTCGTTAGTGCAGCGTGCTCCCCTTCTGCACCCAAACTCAACTTCGAATACCCCTCCCCGCTCTTTACTCTAGATTAAAATATCCCTTGAATCAAAATAAATCCCATATGATTTTTTTGTCAATAACATGAATTTAACAACCCGAATAAAAAAATATCACGCATCAATATACGAACAGGAATACTAAATTGGGGATGAATGATCATAAAAGTTACAGTATAAAGTTCAAAATTAGGCCGGAATACTAAATCCAGATCAAACTGATAGCATAACATATGAATTGGCCAAACAAAACAGGAATACAAACAAGTTATAGAATAAAAGGTACCTGAAATCTGGAACTGGTTTTTTTGTTATCCCCAAGTTTGCGTTGTAGAAAGCTGAAAGCCTCAATGGTACCAATATCTTCCCAGTAGCCATCATACAAATAAGCTTGAACCTGTAGGCATTAATAATTAGTATTTTGGGAGATGAATATCCAGATGAAGGGTAGCGGGGACAGAAACTATGGAACTGGGAAATATTTAGCAGATCATATAAAATCAATTTAGGACACTATCTTTTTCAGTACAAAGAGATTTGTTCAGTTTCGAATGAAAGATATTTGCAATTATGTAATACCAACAATTATTCCAATCTTTTCCACCTCTTTTGATTGATCTTTCATAGAAATTACAGAATAAAATATATGAATAAAAACTTACTCTCAAACCAATGGAAGTTGCGCCTGGAATAACTTCACTCCCGAAATCATTTGCACCAGGAAACTTGTCTCGAAGTAGATCTAACATCACATTTTTGCTCACAACATATATACCCATGCTGGCAATATAAGGCATCTCTTTTGCTCTCTCATCATCAAGACCCAGGATAGTAGTATCAACCTATATAACAAAAACAGAAACAACAACATTTTGCATCACTAATCAATCACACACCTAAACCCACAAGCAATCGAAGTTCACAATGAAACGAATATGTAATGCACTAAATAATGAAAAACAATCTGCAAGTGGATCGTTCACCTTCATAGCTTTGAGCTGCTCCCCTTTAGGTTTCTCAGCAAACTCAATAATCCTTCCCTCTTCATCAATCTTCATCAAACCAAAGGCGGTAGCGCGCTTCTCATCCATGGGCAGAGCAGCCACAGTGATGTCTGCATCAGTTTCTCTGTGCGCCTGAATAAACCTCTCATAGTCCATCCTATACAAGTGATCCCCAGCAAGAACTAAAAATTCCAATACATTGTGCTCCTCAAACAACCACAAGTACTGTCTCACGGCATCCGCGGTACCCTGTAAAGCACCAAAACCAAATATCCCAACTCAAAAACCAATGAAAACCAAAAATCCATACTCAAAAACCAATCGAAACCCGCTTTCCAACACAACCCCACAATTTGAAACAAGCTTTTCATCACCTGAAACCAATTGGGATTCTCGGGGCTCTGCTGAGCAGCAAGAACCTCAACAAAGCCTTCATTTTTGTAGCCACCCATGTTACTGGCATAAGCACGAGAAAGATGGCGATTGTGCGAAGCGGAATTGAACTGGGTCAGCACATAGATCTTGGACACGTTTCTGTTGAGGCAATTACTGACTGGGATATCGATCAGCCTGTAGTTTGCTCCCAATGGAACAGCAGGCTTCCCACGCTTCTTGGTCAATGGGTAAAGCCTCGTCCCAGCTCCCCCACCCAGGATAATCCCCAACACACTCTACACATTAACACAAACAAAATTCCCAAAATTTCAATCTAAACAAGAACACATTATGCGAATGCATAGAAACAAAAGCACGAAATGCGATAGAGAGGGAGAGAAATGAATCACTTACCCGGCTCGCATCGGGATCAAGACACGTCTGGGAGTTCTTGGAATCGGAAACAGCTTTCGGAGAGACAACCAGCGGCGGGCCTCTGTGAGTGGGGCATTTCCTCGTACAGGTGCTGGGGGCGGGGCAGGGATTTTGGTCCCGGAGAGATGAGAGCCGCTGAAGGAGAGGCGGCTGATGTTCTGGGTCTGCTTCGAGTTCGGCAACACCGACGATCGCGACGTGAGCACTCCGCTCGCTGCCATTGAAGAGGACGCCATGTAACACGAAATTTTGAGAGAGAGCTCCAGAGAGTTGCAGAGGGAGACGGTGGAGTGTTTGGGACCGCCAGCTGAGATTTGATGATATTTCGGGACGTGTTTGCCCTTCCCATTTTAGTGTTAATTACGCAAACCAACGGCAAATCTAAGAGGATGGCGGAAAGGGTATTGTGGACTTTTTACATGTTAATATTAGTAGTTACTAGAAATTATTGCCCGCACGTTGTTACGGGATTAATAAATGTAAAAAGCATTATGTTTGAAAGATATAAAAAATTGTGTCATAAAAGATTAATACAATTCATTGCTATATTTAATTGATACTCCACATAAAATTGTAGAAGTTTTGGCTATCTATGTACATAGCATATTAGATCAACACATTCCACTTGGGTAGTTTTTGTGATTTTCGATCAACAGCAGTACTTACATACAAAAGGTTATGGAACTTTGGGCTATTTACATGCAAAAAACGTTAAGAAATATTGTGTCATTTACATTGATAAAATATGACAAAAATTGTTCATGAATTGGATACTCAAACAATCTCCAAACAGCTTCGTATGGAGATATATATCTACAATTTAGATAAGCACGTATTTCATTGTTTGAATTCTCTTCAAAAACAATTCTTGCTCGATCTGAACCTTTGTTTATGTATTTGAAAAGATATTTTATAAGCATTGATTGAGAACATAACTCAACATTTATATGAGCATTGTATCTCAATAATAAATTTGAATTGTAAGGTACAACAAAACCATTATCTATTTGCATCCCATTTTTAACCACAAATTTTGACGAATCATCACGACGCCTATACACAGGAAAAGTATTTGTTTCAAAAATTGTTTCACTTTTGTATTGCTTTGGGAAAAACTTAGAATATTTTCCCTCTCGCATGCATGGAGACTTTTGATTAAGTTGTCCGCAAGGACCATGAATCATGAATTGGTTCACAATTTCATAGGAGAGGATCTGAATTTTTATTTGGTATTTCAGCTGAAATGATGGAATCTATGTCATCAGCAGAGTAGCATTTGTAAGGCTTCTTTAACCAAATTAAGATGTGAGCGTGAGGCAACCTTCTTTTCTGAAACTCGATTGTACAAACATCTGTTTGCAATCAAGTTAGGAAATATATAAACCATAGTCAGTTTCATTGTAAAGATAAAATGAAAGAAACTGAGAAAAAAATTAATTTTTAAACTCACCTGGTTCAACTTCTCCAAAAGGTTCTCCTGATTCTCCTGATTTTATGTAGCTAATCATATCATCAAATTTCATCTTAAAAACCCTAGAAATGATATATGGTCTATCCTCTGACTTGTATCCAAGTTTTATATCAAATTCTCTCACAATTTCAGGCCATTTGATATTGCAAGTGAAGGTTATGAACAAATCAAGATAACCAAATTGTCTACAAATAGCCATCGCATCTTGATAGTTGTTAAGCATATATCTTGGGCTTCCTGTGTATGAGCTAGGTAATATTACTCTCTTGCCTATGTTATCAGCATCATGATCACCTTTTGATACAGCGTCATAAATGCCTTTATACACCTCACTTCGTAAGCTTTTTTGGTTTTTTCTAATATAATCCAATCGATCCTCTTCAAGTGTTGCATAAGCATCTACCAAAAATTGTTGAAAAAGTCTTCCTCCTTTTAACAATGTATCTAATTGAGACTCCCTTTCTTGAATTTGATAGGGTATAAATGCTCTCATAGTTACTCTGCCTCTTTTACATGGGCGATTGTTTGAGGGAATATTCAATTTCAAATCAGGGCTGTATCCATCTTCACCATAAGACATAAATTTTGGATTTAATTTTGTCACACGTTTTAGTTCACCATCTTTAAACTCTATGACAATATCTCTATTTGAGTCAAATTGACCAATATCACCCACTATTAAACCAGCGATTTCATCACATGTAGGTTGTCCATATTGTTTATCATCATTTAACTACCTACCCAATATAGTTATTTTCAAAGAAGGGAGAGAATTGTTTTCAAATTTATCTCTAATTGTTCGAAACACTTGAACCAATTCATTTGATTCATTGAACATGTTGTTCAGACCCTTGACAATATTCTCATCAAGCTTCATATTTGTTTCCTTACAATTAATAGCATTGAAACGATTTCCAATTTCATTAGCAGTATCATACACATGTAGTTGAGCAAACTTTGGGCATTCACCATCAGGGGGTAACAAAGAGCCCATTAAATGATGCACTTGACCACTAATTTTAAAAATGTACGGGCCTAACTGATTGTTAACCGTGTGATCAACTTTAGCTCCCATTGAAGTAAATGCAAACATTGAATTATAAGCTCTAATGTTCTCTCTAAACAATAAGCTTGTTTGGCCTTTCGTTGGGTCAAGCAAATTTTCTAAAAAGTGAGGAGTAAGCATTGGACGTGGGAGCTTGACTTTTCCTTGTTGGCAACAAAGAGAATAAAGGGGCTCATTATTCTTGGACTTCTGCTTTAAAGACTCTTTTGTCCAAAAAAGTGCACCACAGTAGATGCACTTATACTTTTTGTCTCCCAAATCCACATATTTCTGAACATTTGCTATTGAAAAAAAGGTGAAAAAAGAAGGGAAAAAAAAGTCAACCTATTAGAAGCAAAGTCATAAATACATAACCAACCCAAAGAAATTGTAAGTTAAAAAGATAGTTTACCTTTTTTATTTTTCTGAAAATTGGCTTGACCTTTACTAATTTGATTCGGATTATCAAATGTATCGACATTGACAGTGGTTTGAACTGTGTTTGTACTTGTTGAACACACATTGTCAACATTTTTTTGTCTTTCGTTTTCAGATTCAAAGCCTAGTTTATCACAAACTTGTATGCCACTGGAAGAACCAACAATATGGTCTTCTTTTCGTCTTTTGTTCTGAGGTTCAAAGCCTGGATTATCACAAACTTGTATACCACTGGAAGAACCAACGATATGGCCTTCTCGTATCATTCTATTCAGTTTGGTATTTCTAGACCTTGTTAACATGGCTTGAAAAAAGTTTAAACTCCAAACAACAGATAATGGGCTGAGAACCCTAGGAAAAGAAGTCAATTATTAAATACTTGACAATATGTAATCTACAATCAACCAAAACAAACACATAAAAGTTACATTTCGAACTATTATGCAAAAACCAACCCTAATAATGATTCAGAAAACCTTAGTTGATTATCTTTTATGATTGAAACTACACTACAAAATGTTAAATCCTTATGTAGACATGCAATCCAAAACAAAGACAAATTTGAAAGATTTGAGCCTTACCTAACCACAGATGAAACAAAGGCGTAGAAATAAGATATGCAATTGGATTTCAACTGTAGCAGCTACTGCTTTCTGAATTCAAAGCTGGGAATTGAAGAAAATAGAATACATTTAAAGTCATGCAATTCAAATTGCAAACAAAGAGCTAAATTCTCAAACATGCAATCCAATCAATAAGATCGTCCTCACAGATTATTATAATTTAATTACCAAAAGATTATGGTAAAGTTGTAAATAAATAGATTGCAACATATTTAGAAAACACTCGAAGAGAAACAATTTTAAACGTTAGCTTTTATCAAATCGATCTTTGATTGATATCTTATGATCTAACTGGAAAAAAAAGATTTAACAGAACATGAGGCCTACAATAGTGAACTTTCATGCTCCTTTAAAACAATGCAAAAAGATCTCTCCCTATATTTAGAAAATAATTTAGGACTTTTGTGCTCAAATTAATAACAAAATTTATTAATATAGGTATTAAGGATTAATTAACTTTGGCTAGGCCTACAATAGTGAACTTTCATGCTCCTTTAAAACAATGCAAAAAGATCTCTCCCCATATTTAGAAAATAATTTAGGACTTTTGTGCTCAAATTAATAACAAAATTTATTAATATAGGTATTAAGGATTAATTAACCTTGGCTATCAAAAAAAGAAAAACCCAAAACTAAAATCATATATGGGTTGAGAATCCTTAATTTATTAAGATCAGAGACCCATTAATACAGCTATGTCTCAGTAGAAACTCAGAGAGACAGACAGAGGGGGAACTCTGACTATTGTCACTTCGGCCAACATGCAAGATTTATTAGAATTAGAGATCCATTAGTACAACTATGTCTTAGTCCAATACTATTTTTTTTTTATTTGGCATTAATAGAGAAGACTGAAAACTTCAAATTAAAAAGATTAGACAAATAAATTTGAAAAGGATAAAGATTTTAGAGAGAAAGTGAGGAGAAAGAGAAATAGGGGGAGACCTTGGGTGAACAGGTGATTGCCGATTTCATTGGGGGAGTACCTTAATGCAGTTTTTCACAATTTTTCTGCAAGCCCTGTATCAACAATTAAAAAACGGATAAACACAACATGACTGAAGGACAAAAATCGGAACAAAAAACAACCTAATTTCGAGACAAACCTGAGTGGCAAGCAAAAGCGCCAGTTTTTTTTTTTTTTTTTTTTTGGTAATGGCCAAGCTACTGATATATGAGGGTGTGGCACCTGTGAGAAACGATAAGAATCCAATTTTTAGAGAAGTATATGAAATTTTATGCTCTACACCACACAATTGCACAATGCACACATGCATTTGTTAAACAACATATCGTAATTGTAAAGATTTTTGTCATGTTTTTCAGATCAACTAAAAATGTCAATAAAATACATGGAGGGGGGTGGATAAACCACAAACAAATAAAAATTGAGGATGTTTGATGAGATTTGAAGTCAATTAGTTATATGGCAGGCCTAGATTTCCGTCAGTTGCTCAGGTAGTGGAAAATAACATGCGAACTAATTCAATAATTTCATGTTTGACACTTTGTCGGTGCCCAAGCGAAGAACTAATGAGAGAATCAAAGTAGAGAAAGACTATGTGTACCTGAATTGAGTTCAGAGGCAAAATCCTTGACCCAACCTCGGGTATCTGAATCTTAATGTTGAAGAACCCTTCGGCGCACACGGTTCCTTCTGTGCCTTTAATCTCTGCATCAAAGCAAAGCAAAAAACAAAAAAAAAACGTTTTTCTAATTAAATTATTATTTTCTCTCGGAAACCAAACGATGGGTTAGAAAAATCCGGAAAGAGGTCAAATTGGGAAGCTTTGCCCGCGTCGATGGTGATGAGGATGAACCCAGAAAATTAGCGAAATTTTTTCTAACCCACAAAATCAAGTTTTTTCTGAAGTCTAATTATATCAAATCACATACTTGAACAGATTTGGACATATAATAGGTGTAGAAAGTACCTGTGGTGATGAGGAATAGATGATGATGATGTGGGTTTTTTCAATTGGAAAGATTTGGAGCAAAATTGCTGCTGAAATTTAGGGAAGAGAGATCTAGAAGGTTTTCAATTCGAATAGAAGTCGATCAGAAAAGACGAAATCACGGAGAAAGCAGAGATGGAAGAGATCACGAAGCAAATATCGAAGAACACAAAGCAGAGATCGAAGAGCGCGATGGAAAAGGGAGGAGTCTGGAAGAGGAGACAAAAAACTAAAGCAAAGCAAAAGCAAAAGCAAAGAAAGAGGAGATGGGTAAAGTGACACGCGTCCCAATCAACACGTGTCACTATGCTAAGCCGCCAGGTGACAAAATCAAAAGACAGAAGTCTCCCGAACAACCTAGTTTTTCCGCTCCTTCAATTTCAGGCACAACCGTAATAAAAGAACCCCTGTTGCACTGCAGGGACGAAAATGCCATTCTACTGTAGAATGAACAGTGATGACAGAAACAAAGAAAGGGCAAAAAAGGAAGAACACTGGTGAATGAACAGTAAAAAGGATACAAAGGGAATTAACCACAATGTTAGGCGTTTAGTATATACTAGCAATTGTGCCCGCGCGTTGCCGCGGGTTTTAAAAGTGAATGCATAAAATTTGCAGAAAGTTTTACAAACATGTATGTGTCTTCATCGTATTTACAGGAAGGAATAAACATATAGAAATAACAAATGGTACAGTTTTGTTCTAGTAAGAGGGCAATTGTAAGAAACAATGTATTTGTAATTCAAGGGTTAAAGTTGTGTTGTACGGTGTGAAAAAATGTTGATTCAAATGTGAGCTTGTGAAGGGTTGTTAAGTGTGTAAATTGACAGTTAACACGCAGGAAAGTGTTTAGGTATTTAATATTTAACCAAGGGAAGAAATAATATTGTCATTGTTTATAAGTTAAACAGCTGAGAAATAATTTTATCAAAGCAAATAAAAGATAGTGTTAGAATGGTGTACCTTCAAATGAATGATGATTGGAGGCGATGCTTTACAGAATAACGGGTTATGCTGTAAAATAACAGTAAGCATGAATAAATTCTTATGCATCAAATTGTTTTTAGAACCGAAAATGTCAGGAATCAAAATCTGCATGAAAGTAATAAGAAATATAAATCTAAGCTAACAATATGCTTCCGTTCTCTTTTTCAGGAACCTCATATATCAAAAGTAATATTTAGCGAATACTAATTGTATAATTGCAGTCTTATCACAAACGTAATCATGTTGGTGTTTAATCGAAAGTCTTATATTGGTGCACCTTTGGGAAAAAAAAAAAAACCTAGAACTAAAGCTGTCACAGCCCGTCCCGAAATTTTTAATTCCGAGGACATGAAATTACAAAAATGCCCCAATACGTGACTAAGGTATAATTTTTACGTTCGTTATATCTAAGCTCCTAAAATTTGGTAAGTAGAGTGGAGACTTAGACTTAAATTTTATGTTAGAATTTGTAGTTGGGGATTGGGTAGGATCCCACACCCCTCAATTCTCTCCCTCTTTCCCGTACCCTGTCTCTCTCTCCTCCCTCACAATCTCTCATTCTCTGTCTCTCTCCTTCGAACTCACACGGACAAACTCCAAAACCACCCTAAACTTCTACCAACGACGGAGTTAAGACCACCATCGAACTCCTGGAACCTCCACGATCACGTAGACACCAATTTCAGGTAAGTTTTACTTCGGAAAACCTAGATTCTAAACTCCCCGTGAAAGTGCACTGTTCATGCACACGTAAATCTTGATGTTTCAGGGAATTTCAAGCTCACAGTGAGCTTAGTGAGGTCCCAAGGAAGCTCGGAGTGCTTCGTTTGAAGGAATTGGACGTCGGGATCACGAGCTGCAAGTTTGGCCGGTTTTGCTTCGACTTTTCCGGTGAGATTTAGTTGTTTTTGAAGCTTAAAAGTAGTCTATTGTGATTCTACATGTTTGGGGCTTCATTTTGATATATTATACGAAGAAAATGGGTGAGAAACGAAGGAGAACGAGGCATTTGAAAATTTCCCAGAATCTGGCCACCGGAGAAAAACCAGTCCGGCGAACTCGCGAGGAAGAAGGTGCGCGTGGGCGCGCGTGGACCCGTGCCTTCCTTGGCGCGTGGGGGCGCGTGCTACAGTAAAAAATTATTTTAAAAATTTTTCGACGTCCGTGACGTCGAGTAGGTCAATGTGGTATATTCATATACCCAAATTGAGCACCGTATGAGAAAGTTATTAAGGATTGTTGGTTAGGTGTTCAAATAACGTTTTATAGTTTTTGCATTTAGGTGAAAATATGAATTGACGATCCGACCGTTGGATCGTCACCAAACTTTGATACGTTGTAATACGTAATATTTGAGGATTATAGGAACTTACGGATTGGGAATCCGATTTACGGATCTTCCGGAATTGGAGTTGTAAGTTCATAAAATAGAATGTAAATCGTCACTTAGTTTTGTTAATTGACGGAGATCCGACCGTTGGATGGTGATGAAATTTTAGGATGTTGTCCTAGAGATATATTGTGGACCTCTGGAAGTTATGGATTTAAAATCTGAGTGGCAGATCTTCCGGATCGATCTACGTAGTGACGTATTTTATATAAGTTATATATTCTATCGATATGAATTCTGAGGCTGGATTTGATTACTGTTCTAGGCGGCGATCGTCATGACGCCTTGATGTGTGGTGCTAGGGAGTTGTT